ACACCAAGGTGGCGGTTGTGGTGGTGGTCCTTCGAGTTTGAGTGCTACTGTGACAGCAACAGAGGTAGCGTCCGGGAGCGAGCAGCAGGACAGGGGTGCGATGGATGGGACGGACTTGAAGTCTTACAGACAAAGGGCGGATGCTCTGGAGGGCTTGCTGGAGCTTTCGGCCCAGCTGCTAGCGCAGCACAGGCTGGAGGAGCTGGCCATCGTCCTCAAGCCTTTTGGTGGCGGTGCGGTGTCGCCCAGGGAGACGGCGATCTGGCTCACCAAGAGCCTCAAGGGGATGCTGGCCGAGCACCACCAGGAGCAGCACAAGGTCACGGCAGCAGCGTAGCCACAGAACTCTTGTTTGGAACACTCCAACTCCAAAGTATATGACCACGCGGCCCAGGGATCAGGTGAGCCAATTTTTTTTTCTTACGCACGGGATTGCCGGTCTCTGTGGCGATCACATAATAAAAGAAATGCATCCTTGTGTTTTGTGTATTGGCAAGAAGAAAATCGCATTTGCCTTTACTGGATGAGTGTTTATAGCTTTGCATTTGTAGTAAATCAAAATAACAATGCTAATCTGAATTAGATACATAGTTTATAGATCTATTGACATCATGTTTGGTTTACTTAATATCAAATGGAAGTTTATAATTATAATAGTGTTTAAATTAGAATACACTAAAAAGTGTTTAGAAAAGTTTATAAATTATAAACACAAAATTAATTTAAATAACTGTTAAATGGTAAAATATCCCAGAATATTTAACATATTTTTTATATATTGCAAGCATATTAAAATCTGGAAAGCCGAATTGATTTACACAAAAATTCTGGAGTTTTAAAACAAATGTTTGGAAATTATAATCAAGAAAAACAAAAAGGCCATATTCTAATATATACTGAAAATCCAATCTTCGCTGCATATCTCCAAATATATATAATACGAACCGACCCACTACCCCGAGTACACCCCGCTCGAGACAAGCTCGTGCCTGGTGTACGCATCTCTTGCCCCAGTTACTAACTCCCGCATTCTCAGGGATGTTTGTCCAATTGCACCGTATCAATGACCCTTTCTCTTGTACCTCATAATCTATCTTCTCGTATCTCTTTACAACTTCTAGCGCGACCACAAGATCATCGCCATAACTCTGTGATTCATCGCAAATCATGTCTTCTCCCTCCCCAAAGTATGTCCTGCTCGAGAGAACTCGTGCCCGATGCGTCACACACCACATCCTTGGCATGGACTCGTTCCACGCCTCCAATCATGCGCGCAGTACATAAGCGATGGCGCTCTTTATTGCCGAAACAAACTTGTGCTCTCTCCATATCTCTTCTCGGCCTCGCGTCCTTTTCCGCGATTCCTCTAGCACCAGGCGAAAAAACGCCACGTCCTACGAGTGTAGTTCTCAGTTGAGTAACGAGTTTCCTTTGCTTGCTTGCTTTCCAGGAACGAGCACACGCGTAGCTCCTTTCTTTGAAAGCTCGCATTCCTGAAAGAAAAAGAAAATCAAGGAAGCATGGAAGTTAGCAAGTTCCAGACAGAGGCCAAGAACGCGGTACTAGCGCGCTTGCTCGCCTGCCTCGTCAATGAGAAGTTCGTGAAAGCGTACCTGGTGCTCCACGCCGAATCTCTCCCCGCCAGGCTCGCGGCTCCCGTCCCTCCCAAGCACCGCAAGCACTGGATGTGCATCTCCGCCGCCTCCGAAGAGTTCGAGCTACTCAAGCACGGTAGCTTTCTCGTGCCACTTCGAGAGCTTCCCCCGGTCCAAAAGCCTCCACAGCTCGGCGGCGAGCCCGCGGAGATTCTTCCAGTAACTTTGCTCGACCCGGACGAGATTGGCTTCCCCGTCCAGCAGTTGCAAGTCGATCGACCTGTCGAGTACGTGCCCGCAGACGTCCGGACCGTCACCACGCAGCTCCAAGAATGGGACCCGGCCTTGAGCGCTGCGCTGCTGGAGCAGATCACTCAAGAGATGGAGAACTCGGTGTCACACCAGGCGGCCGCTTACAGCCACCACCAGGGACGAGCTCCGCCAGAACTCGAGCACACCACCGATTCGATGCAATGGGAGCAGCTCATTGTTGAAGGCCACGCAACGCATCCCATGCACAAGTCGAGGTTTCACGTCCCTCCAACTTTGCCCATCGATCCCTGGAACAACGACCTATCGGCCCCCAAGATCCATTTCTTCGCGGTTCCACGATCCAAGCTCACTGTCCGTGGCGACTTTGAGAAGCTTGTAGCGCCTCTCGTCCAGATCTCCTCCGCCAGGGCCAACGTTTTCATGGATTCCTGCGACGAGCTCGTCATGCCTGTCCACCACGTCCAAGTCCCGAGCGTGCTGCTCCACTTTCCTCACGCTCGCCACCTTCCTTTCACTTGCAAAGCCCGAGCTCAAGCCTCAGTGAGAACAGTGGTCGTGGACGAGCTCCCCGCCTTCAATCTCAAGCTCCCAATCGGTGTGAAGATCAGCTCGGCCACCCGGACTATCACACCGTGGACGACTCACATCGGCCCAGCTTTCAAACCCGTTGCTGACAAGATCATCGAGGACAAGGACCTGCTCGAGGTTGCTCACGAGCTCGCCAGCGTTGTTTCCAATCACCCGGATCCCGACGTCGCCAAAAACCTGAGCTGCGTGATCCGGCAGGACCCCCAGCACCTGGCCACCACCCGAGCCCGAAGCGAGAGAGTCGTGCTATCTGCCGCTCTCACTGAGCGATATCCCTCGAGGAGCGATGACTTCGTCGTCAACACCCTGTTCCACCTCGACTCCCTCGAGAAGAAGGAGCTCTTCTTCCAGAACTACGCCCGGCTCTTCCTCCGGGCATTCCTTCCACCGCTGCTGAAACACGGAGTGAGTTTCGAGGCCCATCTCCAAAACGTTCTGGCACGGTTCCGTCCCGCAGCTGTCGCTGGAGAGTGGGAGCTCGTGGGTTTCACGGTCCGCGACTTGGGCGGTATCAAAGCCCACCAACAAACTCTGTTCGAGACCACTGGCCTCGAGCTCGACGTGTGGGATGCGGAGAACTGCTCTCAGCTTGCTGAGACAATCGACGAAGTTCACAACCTGGCCTTTCACACGATCATCCAGTGCCATCTCCATCGTCTCGCACGGGCGCTGAGCGTCCACTACAACGCCAAAGGTTGGGAGTTTGTGAGAGCCGAGGTGGATGCCATGCTACCGCCCGGATGCCATGCCCGAAGCCTGTGGCTTGGTGCTACTGTCAACTGGAAGGCGTTTATCACCATGAAGCTCCAAGGCTTGTACCGCGACTACCTTTACATTAAGGTTCCCAATCTCATCACTTATCGGCCATCTTGAGTTACCGTCTGTGGATTTGTTATTACCACCTGTGTGTGGAGAACGTGAATCAATAAAACGATTGAAACGATTTGAGAACTGCAAATTACCTCTGCCTGAACGATTCTTTGGTTAAGAGTTACACGTCAACATGGACAACGGACTTTTCCAGAGCTGGACTATTCCAAGGCCTGGCAACAGCAAGGTATATTAGAGAAGAAGAAAACACTGTTTCTAGAGCTGTAGAAATCACTGCGAAGCATTCCTCGCGGAAAACTTTGGAGCTCCATTTAAACCGGCCTGATTGTCATAGCGAAGCCGGAAGAACGATCAGCATTGCCGTGCTCTAAACTTCCACGAAGAAACTTAATTGGCAAACGACATATTCTTCAACAGATAATGGGATATCACATTATTAATCGTAATGTATCGAGGCTTTGCCCGCGCTGCCACTCAGATCCTTCACGATAGCTGCGCTTGGCGTGGACACACCTCCAAGACCACCATCGCCACTCGCCAAATCTTTCCCAGTCACCGCAGTTCCGGTGGAGACGCAAGTTCTGAAACCACCACCGCCAGCTTTCGAGTTGCAAGAAGGACCACCCCGTGCATAAACCGGCATGCATTGCCATAGCGACACTTTCCTCAAGCAAAAAACCTGGAAGAAACGATCAAAGTCATGAGCTTTGCTGCACAGTGGAAGCTCCGGAAGCCGAAGATGACCACCTCCCTCAGGTCCGACACCTCGATGCTCTGGATGGCGCCGCTCTAGGAGAGATCATCTTCTCCCAACCTAGGCGAACAAGAACTGGGGAGGAGCTTATAGGAGAGAGCTTTCCAAATACAAACTCACGAGCACAAGGTATGAACACTCATTTTTTCATCAGAAAGGAGATACAACCTCTGGAAATTCAAAGCCATGCAAACGTGTGCTTTTACTAGCACAAGGCTCATGTGAGTGGTTTGTGTCATGAACGTGTTCATGCTAATTAACTAGTGTTTTTATGCCGAGGTTAGCTCTCATAAAAAAAATCAAAGGATTATACCTATACGTTTGTTGTGCTTTTGAGCTGGCGATCTCATAGAAGCCTTTTGGCACCAACTCAACGTTATGGACGTCTTCGATGAATCTTACTATGGCGCTCCTTGCACAAGAAACCTAAAATAGTATTTAAAAGGATCTAAGGATCTGCATTTCTTCAAATTGATTTAAACTTTGTTTCAACGTACTGGAATATAAATTCATGCTCTGCTCAATGAACTGCGACAAACAAGCTCATTCTTTGGCCCCATGAAGGAATTGCCTCGTTGACTAGACATCTTGCTCTCCAAATGAAATTGGCGTCACAGGCAGGTCACAGCCGGCATGCCCGATCAGATTGGTAGAAGAAGACAAGCGGATGGTGCTGTGTGATGACCTCAGGGAATCGTTGGTATTATCTTTTGGTCGACCAAAATTCCGAAGCAATTTTCAACCACTTGAAGCAATCAATTCAAGCTTTCATCCTATTGTCACCACCAGTCTCTGCAATCATAGTTAGTTGTAAGGAAACATGTTAGTATAGCTCTGTCCTCCACATGTATACATATGCGACTCTCAATTTTACAGTCTCAAGTTGTGTTGTTTCTGGTTCTCATCTGTCCATAAATCCTAAAAAGTAAAACCACAAATTTCAAAGGCAATAAATTTTTTGAAAATCTTATGCATGGTACCTGTGTGCAGAACTCGCTCCTCCATACGTATTGACTCCCTTGCTTCTACAACTTTGTTAAGCATTTCCTTACTCCATTTGAGCACCGCATCTCCAATGATGATACGTAAAAGTCCCTCATAGAGACGGTGTGTGTCTGGACTGCCACCACCAAACAACTCATTCCGAGGAAGTTCATGCCACTTCCTCAGAATGCCAAAGGCGTAAGTTAAATCAATCATTTAACACTTCAAAAATACTTACCTCGTCGGAGGTGTAAAGCGTCCCAACAAGGTACATATTGTCAGGGTAGAGCGACTGTGGGGCTTGAGAATATTTCCGCTGGAAGAAAGCAGTGCGTTCCTGCAACATTTCCACAAGCTCCTCTTCAGGAATTGGGTCCTTGAAACCCATCATCTTCTCGGTCTTCCTAAAAGCTGTACAAACACATTGCTAGGAAACAACTTTCTCAGTATAGTAAGTACCTGGAAGGGAACTGCGATCGAGTGTGCCATTCTTTACAGAAACTTCTCCCCGCAAATGTAGGATGGAACGTTTCCAACGCTCGGAGAAACAGAGTACGTAAATGGGATTCGTCTGGGAGTTGTGCATGTTGATGGGAGCTTCTTTGCAAGCATAGCAGGTGCCCTGGAAGCCTGCCTGTTTTTCGTTTGTGAACTTGAACTCTATAATCGCAACTAACTTCTTCACAAGCTAGAGTCAAACAAAACATACGTCAGAATGATTATACATGCAATTCAGATGGCTTACTTCTTGCAGCTTGTTCACCAGCACGTACACTTTGAGGTCCGCAGCGCCCGTCGATTCTTCACCATCTTCTCCTATTACTGGAGCATGCTCAGGATCAAGGTCAAAATCTCAAATCCTGTGAAATTCTTTCCTCAGCCACCTGCAACAACATGTCCAGCTGGTCTGAAAAGCTTGCAATGTCCGACAGATCTGTACGCTTCCTCTTTTTCCCCGTTAGGCTCTCGTACAGCAATTGATCTCCCTCAAGTTTCTTCAGTGTCTGGCCCGATGGTATTGTGAGCTTCTCCAGTTCTCTGACCAAAGAATGGTGGAACTCTGTTAGTTGTTTTTCATTGGATGCCTTTCCGTAAAGTCTGGGTAAGAAACCAAAAAAGATGGTTACTGCACTCACGAGAAACATAGGAAAAGAACATACTTATAGAATCGAGTAAATTCTGTAGAGCACAGGAAAATAGCCGCTCGTCTGACTTGCGCATCCACCAGCAGCGGCAGCGCAAACTTGTCAAATGCCGGCATTAGTTCCTCTCCGCTGACAATCTACAAGCATTACAACAAGTATTATGAAGCAGCCAACTTTGTTTACCGCTTGCCCACCTTAATCAAAGGGTGGTTCGCCTTGAACACACCCTTTGTGTACAAATAAGCAGGAAACTTCAGTGGATTAGTTTTTCCCCATATGTGACTTGAGGATGCAGCTCCCTCGGCCTTTGCCTCGTCGATCTTTGCTGCTTTTGCTTTCGTGGGAAAGCAGCCAGCACCTTTCACTACGGAAAAAAAACTCTGATAAGTCAAAGCAAAAGAAAGAGCCCTGTCACTAATGGAACCTTCCACAGACTTACTCTTGTTCTCCCCCTCTTCCTTGCTTGCTTTCCTTTCAATGTAACCTTTGACAAAAGCAACCCTATGACGTAACGCCCTAAACATAAGCATTTAATATCCTGCCACGTGGCATACGTTGTTGTTGGAAAATGTATCTCGCAGCTCGACTGACGGCTCTACTTCGCAGGAGTGAGCTACGATCCGGAAGATCGCAGAGCGAAGCTCTCTGGCGATCTGGTGGAGTTTTTCCGGTGCCAATCCAGGGGCCGAGTTCATCTTATGTGCATCTTTATTCTTTTTTTTTCAAGGCTCTATTGGAGGCAATGGAACGGCAAAGCGTGTCCGTTGCAAAAGCTGGTCTTGTTGCAAGCTTGCTGGCGACAGCTTCTGTTCTTGCTGCCGCCAATTGTTGGCATCACTTCTTACAGTCGAGCAAAACGGTCAATGAGAACCTCAGAATCCGCGTCCATGACGAATCGAGAGAAGAGAAGCTCCTGGAATGGCGCCGACGCTTCACCGCCTCGGTCGATCCATCGCTCTTGCGTTCCAGCGATGGTTAGGTGATCGGCAAGAAAGAAGAAAAGAAAGAATTTCCATGAAGAAATGCTATATCTTCTATAGCTAATTAGCAAATTTAATGTATGCGTAACGTGAGCGTGCCGGAGTGGTTATCGGGCATGGCTAGAAATCATGTGGGCTCTGCCCGCGCAGGTTCGAATCCTGCCGCTCACGAAAACTTTTCTTTCTTTGGCGCTGCATAGATTCTTGAAATATTCGGTGCTAATCACCTTAAATGTGAGCGTGCCAGAGTGGTTATCGGGCATGACTCGAAATCATGTGGGCTCTGCCCGCGCAGGTTCCAATCCTGTCGCTCACGAATTCTTTCAATTTTATTCGACCAAATTTTCGCGGGTTCACAAAATCTTCATGGAATCAAGTGCCTAGCATCGATCAAAAAGCTCGCGGGTTGAGGATCGGGCTGCGATGGAGGAAAGTTACCTTCATCAAATCAAGCGTCGCCGTGTTGAGCCAAGCTTTCCTAGCAGCCCTGCCGTCGCCTGTTCTTCTTCTTGCTCCTCTTTTTCCGGCTGTGTGTTCGTCTCACTGGTTGGAGAACCAGCCTTGGCCCAGGCCGCAAACTCCGGTGACGCGAGCAATCTCTTCAGTGCCTCGTTGGTCGAAGGACTTCCAGTGGGAGTAACCGAGCGACCTCTGGAACTTTCGGGGCTTCTACCACTTCCGGGACTTCTACCGTCCTGCCGACCTCGTGGAGTTCTTGGTCTCTCTGCAGTCGCACGTCTTAAATAGCGCTCGCGAGATGAACAGACCCTACTTACCGTGATCAGCACCGTGGCCTGCAGGTTGGTTTCTTCCGGTAATGCCTGCGGTCGTGAACATTATGTCTGCAAACCAGGATGCAAGCCAGCCTAGTGGGATTATCGGTATGACCATGGGGAGGGGTGCGCTCTGCACAGACAAAGTCAGAAGGGACAACCGATAGCGCGGATACGACCTGAGAAAGCGCGACCGTCCCGGCCATTCGTATGGCCCATGTAACAAAGTAAACAGTTCCAATATCAACTTCCCCGTCTGGAGTCAAAACGAACTTGCGGACTGCACAGTAGCCGAGCCAGGCGCCGAATAGAAACACTCCCAGGATAGAGAACAAAAACACCTATATGGGAAGCACAAGAATGAAACAAAGACAAGGCAGGACCGCGCCAAAGGCTTACCGCGCGCCACATTCCTTCAAATATCTCATATCTGAGGATGAAGAGGAAGAAAGCGCCGCCATATATAGTTCGAATTGAGCGGAAGCTCCACTGTTGAGCGTAAGCTTTTGTCAGCTTGTAAACTTAACAGTATGCTTACCAGAAACGCAGTTCCAGACCGTCTCGTAGCCTTAAACACAGAGTTACATCAAAACTTTCAAGAAACTCGCAAACGGTACCTGCTGGAAAATGAAGAACACAACAAAAAATATGCTGATGCTCATCGCGCTGGTGTAATATAGCGGAACCCATGAACTGAGTATCGTCGACAGAAGCAGCAACGCCATCCCAAGTATAAGAAAGACTACCCGAGGGGTATGGAACTCTGACCATGCTACAACTGTTACAAGCAAAAAGAAATAAAAATGTAGGCTGACCTTCGGTCGCTGTAACACGGACGAGATTCCGTGACTCCGCCAGTTTGATGTCCAAGAAATAAGATTCAACTGTTGTATAGCGCCCAGTCCAGAGAGATCGATTCTTCGCAGGCGTCAAGTTTCCGTATGGGCATCGGCAGATATCCGAGTCATTGCCCCCCCTACAAAGAGAATGTTCTGTTAGCATTTGATCGATGATACATAGAAATCCCACGTACCACACTGCGCATGCTCCTTTGATTGTGGGAAAGTACGTAGCGTTGACCTCTTCTAGCTTTATAATCCTGGACTTGGCGAAATCCAGCATCTGTTTCGAGTGTCCGAGAACGCGTAAGCGAGCGCAGTACGCCTTGCTTCTATTCTCCTCAAACGAAGAGCAGTTCGCGGACGTGAGGTAAAGAGGCGAATCGACTATGAGCTCTCGAAAACCTGACACTACACACGCACAAAGAAATAAGACAGAGTGCGCATTCATCTGAGAAGAAAGCAAACCTGGCTCAGCCGCCGACGAGAACAAGCTCGCGAGTACGATAGCGAGGAAGAAAGACCAGGTTCCCATGGCGTATACACGGAGTCGGCGAAAGGTCCTTGATTTCACGCGATTCAAGCTGCGACAGACGGAGAATCGTGAGAAAACTTCCAAGATTCTGGAGATTATGAACCGCAGAGTCGATGCTTGTGCGGAGATTATGAACCGGAGAGGCGATGCTTGTGCCGCAGTGACACAATCGGATCTAAGAGGACGCCGGTATCGACAAGGCCGCAATCATCGATCAGAGAAGCGCTGCATTTGGAAGAAATCACACATACCAGGGCAGCGCCATCGCTAGCGCCATCGCCTTGTCTAGCTCAATCGCCAATCCACTACACTGAAAACCCTATCGAAGCGCATGCAAATGTGTAGAAGGCGGGCTATTCAAATGCAAGTAAAAGAAAGATGCGACAGACGTTAAAGAAGATTCCGCCATTGTCCGTCAGGCAAATTTAAGGAATATTCTCTCTTAGCTAGGGTTTGGAGAAGTCGATCGAGCTGCCCGAGAAGGAGATGGAGATGGAGATCGAGAGCAGCGCTTCTCGGATTGAAGCTGAGAATCGCGGCGCTGGCGCCGCCGCGGCTGAGGATGAGGAGGATGTCTGCCGGATTTGCAGGACATCGGGCGAGGATGGATCGCCGCTCTACTATCCTTGCGCTTGCAGCGGCAGCATCAAGTACGTGCATCAAGAGTGCCTGTTGCAGTGGCTCAATCACAGCAATGCCAAGCAATGCGAGGTTTGTGTCTAGCCTAGAAGAAGAAGAGAAATTTCTTCCAAGTCACAAGATTTATCGCGTTCTTCACAGGTTTGCAAGCACCAGTTCTCTTTCTCCCCGGTCTATGCCGAGGACGCTCCAACGCGCCTCCCAGTGACCGAGCTCGTCTATGGCATGGTCGCCAAGGCCGGGAGGGGCCTGCGATTCTTCTCTAGGCTCGTGCTCGTCTTGTCGGTGTGGCTGCTCTTCATCCCTTTCACCACCTTCTGGATTTGGAGGATGACTTTCGTGAGAAGCCTCGGTGATGCCCAGAAGCTCTTCGTCACCCGCTTCCTCACGCCGGCCTTCCTCTTCGCCGACTGCTTGAATGGCTTCCTCATCTCGGCCGGGATCGTCTTTATATTTCTTGGAGCAACGTCGCTGCGAGAGTACTTTAGACACATCCGGGAGGTGGCTGGCCAGGAGGCTGATAGGCAGCAGCACGCTCCTCCCGCGAACGGCGATGGCGGTGCTGGGCAGGGACAGGGACTAGCCGCTGGAGCTGGCGAGATCATCAGGAGGAACGCTGAGAACGTCGCAGCGCGGATAGAAGCTCACGTGGAACAGATGTTTGAAGCCGACGATCCAGATGGTGCTGAGGATGTTCCTTTCGACGAGCTCGTTGGAATGCAGGGACCGATCCACCATTTGATCGAGAATGCGGTCACTGTAAGTTTGTTTCTTCTAGTCCAAGCTCTCGTTTGCTTACACTTCTTTTGTTTCTTCTTCTTCAGGTTCTAGCAAGCAATGCCATTTTCCTGGGAATAGTTGCGTTTGTTCCGTTTACCATCGGCCGTATCTTTCTCTCGGTATTAAATCTTGGCAAAGCTCCTGCTCGCTCAGAAGGACCAGTGGAGGTTGTGGCCAAGGCTGTTGCGGTTTACGATGCTATGGCCGAGGTGTTCGTAACTGCGATCCAGCTCTCCGACGCAGCAACCGTCGCGGTCGGCTATGGAGTCATCTTTCTTCTGCTGAGCTTCTATCTCGGCCTGATACTTCTCGTCCGCTATGGAAGGGGTGAGCCACTTATGGTCGGACGAATTCGCGGGGTGGTGTCACTAGCCGAAGCTGCCCCTTCTTTGTTCCGACATATTATCGGTTGCGTGAGGTATGTGGCGACGATGCTCAAGGTGGCTTTCCTTCTGGTCATCGAGCTCGGCGTCTTTCCTTTGGTTTGCGGATGGTGGCTCGACGTTTGCACCTTGGCTATGCTAAAGGTGTCCTTTGCACAGCGAGTTGCATTCTTCTGGGCCTCACCCCTTACCAGCTCTCTTCTGCATTGGCTGGTCGGCATATTTTACATGCTACAGATAAGCATTTTTGTGAGCTTGTTGCGTGAGGTGAGTTGCTATTTTTTCCGGGTTTTCTAGTTCATGCTAATGGTTTTAAGTTTCAGGTTCTCCGCCCTGGAGTCCTATATTTCTTGCGTGACCCGGCGGATCCAAATTACAATCCTTTCCGCGACTTGATTGACGATCCGCTTCATAAGCACGCTAGAAGAGTACTTCTCTCTGTGGTCGTGTATGGAAGCTTGATTGTTTTACTGGTGTTTGTTCCGGTTCAAGTGGCCACGCATTTAGCTTTTTCCGTTTTTCCTCTGGACATAAGGTAAAGCTGTATCATAAGTTTGATCTATCTTCAACTGAACGCTATTCTTCTGCAGAGTATCGGATCCGTTTACTGAGCTCCCTGCCGACATGCTCTTGTTTCATATATGCATACCGTTCGCTCTCGAACACTTCCGCCCAAGAGCGACCATCAAGGCTGTTCTATTCTACTGGTTTTCAGTTGTGGGCAAGGCTCTCGATCTTTACGAGTACCTCCTTCCTCGTCCAGAAG